CCCGTGTCCCCTGCATCGGCAGGCGGACTCTCAACCACTGCGCCACCAGGGAAGCCCCCTCTCCTCCTTCTTGATGTATACATATATTGATACTGTTTACTGTCCCACAGGTTTCTTTTTTTCTGTTCCTTACACTGTATAATCTCATTTGTTGTATCTTAAAGTTCACTGATTCTTTTTACTGTCAGCTGAAATATTCTGCTGAGTCCTTCTAGTGAATATTTCATTTCAGTTATTATATTTTTTAACTCCAGCTTTTCTATTTGGTTCTTTTCCATAATTTTTCTTTTTATTGATATTGTCTATTTGGTGAGACACGAATCTCAAACTTACCTTTAGTTTGCTAGATAGAATTTCCTTTAGTTCTTTGAATATATTTAAATAGCTGATTTTAAAACTTTGTGTATTAATGCTTGGACTCTCTCAGTAACAGTATGTACTAACTGCTGCTTTTCCTGATTATGGGTCACACTTTTGTTTCTTTGCATGTCTTTAAAATTTGTTGATAACTGGATGTTTTAATTAATGTAATGTGACACCTTCATAAATCAGAGTCTTTGCCCTACCAAGGTTTGTTGTTGCAGCTGTTGTTTGTTTAGTGAGTTTACTGTATTGATTCTTTAAAGTCTGTATTCTTTATCTCATGTAGCCTCTTAAGTCTCTGTTTGTTAGCTTATTGGTCGACTAATGAATAAACAGAGATTTTCTTAAACGCATGAATCCAAGAAAGTCTCCCACTTTTTCCCAAGTGTGCCTCTGTACATGCTGGAGTATGGCTTCGGCTCTCAGCCAGGCAGTTTACAACTCTGCCTTAGCCTCTTCAGTTCTTGCTTGCTCGAGTGTCAAGGTTAGTTAGAGCCAGGAGTTTAGGGCCTTCAAAGATTTTTCCTGGGCGTGTACACACCCCTGGCCACCATGCATGTGGCCTTTTAGATTCCAAGGAATGTGAGAACTTCTCAAAATCCTTCATAGACATCTCATTCCCTAGCTTTTTCTTCTGCTCCTTTTAGCCAGCTTTATGTTAACCCAACTGCTGTCACCACTCAAACAACTGAGACATTAAACAGTTACTCCTGATTGTTTTTGACAAACACCTCCAGGAAAAAGGCACTTGGCACCAAGAAAGGTCTGATTCTGCTCAAATAAAGAGAATGCTAGACTTTCCTAGTCTGCTGGTTTTCACCTTTATTGCAGGGCTGTTGGCTTTCAAGGCTCCTGCATAGCTGGGGACAAGTAGATAGTAATAGGGCAAGTTAAATGTCATAAAGGTAACTTTTCCTACTGCGATTCCAGTATTCTACTTTCTGTGTCTATGTGTTTGCCTATTCGAGGTATTTCATGTAAGTGGCATCATACAGTGTTTGTCACTTTTGTGTTTTGCTTATTTTAAGGCATGTATCAAAATTGATACAGCATGTATCAGAATTGCAGCATGTATCAGAATTTCCTTCCTGTTAAGATTAAATGATGTATATACCACATTTGGTTTATTCATTCAAACGCCGATGGACATTTGGGTTGTTTCCCCTTTTGGCTATTGTGAATAATGCTGCTGTGAACATTGGTGTACAATTATCTGCTCAAGTCCTTGCTTTCAATTCTTTTTGATACCTAGAAGTGGAATTGCTGGATCTGTGTTTAACATTTTGAGGAACCACCAAACTGTTTTCCATAGCACATCCTCACCAACACCTCTTAGTTTCTGTCATTTTGATTATAGCCATTCTGGTTGGTGTGAAGTGGTATCCCATTATGGTTTTGATTTGCATTTCCCTAAGGACTAATGAGACTGAACATCTTTTCAGGTGCTTATTAGCCATTTGTGTATCTTCTTTGGAGAAATGTCTGTTCGGGTCCTTTGCCCATTTTCAAAATGGGTTTTTTTTTTAATTGATGTTGAAGTGTAGGAGTTCTTTATATATTTTTGATATTTATCCCTTACCAGATATATGATTTGCAAACATTTTCTTCCATTCTGTCAGTTCTCTTTTCACTTTCTTGATGGTGTCCTTTGATTCACGAAAGTTTCTACAAGTAACGTCCAACATTAGAGGATGAAATAAATGTTACTGTTCATTTGTAAAAAGGAATATTATGCAGCATTCTAAAAGTATTGAATAGAGTTGTTATGTTCAGAAATGCAGAGCTAAGGTAGGCTGAAAAATGCCCATATACCTATGTATAAATCAATATGGGACTTCCCTGGCGGTTCAGTGGATAAGACTCTGAGCTTCCACTGCAGGGGGCGTGGGTTCGATCTTTGGTCAGAGAACTAAGATCCCGCATGCTGCATGGCGTGGCCAAAAAATTTAAAAAAATATATAGCTGGAGACCACAGAAATATTTCTCTAGAGATTGGAATGAGGGGAAGAACTTTCGTTTTTACTTTATACAATTTAATATACAAAATTTAGTATTTTGTAAATATGTGTAGAAGCACAAATAACTTTTGTCATAATATTTTAAATATTAAAGTATTAAAATTAGGTTTAATACCTATTTACCTCTTTTTTCTTTTTGTTGCCTGTGATTTTGGTGTCGTATCATAAAAATCATAGTCAAATTCAGTGTCATGAAGATTTTCCCTAATGTTTTCTTCTAAAAGTTTCATAGTTTAGCTCTTATGTTGATGTCTTTGATATATTTTGAGTTAGTTTTTGTGTGTGCTGTGAGGTAATGGTCTCACTTTATTCTTTTGCATGTGGATGTCCAGTTTTCCCAGCATCATTTGTTTAAAAAAAAAAAAAACAAGCAGTATTTTTGAAAGAAACTATTCCTTGTGCTGCCTGTTAATGCATTTAGACACACACAAAAAAATGTTGGCCGAATTTGGTTGCATGTCTCCTCATGAATAAGAATAGGTCCCAGTAGTTTTGTTGAGGAATTTGTTCTTCATGGAGCTCCAGGAATGAAACATGAAATGAATGGGTTTGGCTAGATAAGAATTTAAATATTATGACAAAAGTTATATGTGCTTCCACACATATTTAGAAAATACTAAATTTGGGAAATACTCAATTATATAACATAAAAATGAAAGTTCTTACCCTCATCCCTAGAGAAATATTTCTGTGTGTCTCTGTGTATTGATTTATATATATGTATATGTGCATTTTTCAGCTTTTTACCTTACTTTTCTAATTGAATATATCTTAGCACTGCATTTCTGAACATAACTCTCTTAAAACTTTTAGATTGCTGCTATTCCTTTTTAAGAATGAATAATCATTTATTTTATCCCTTAATGTTGGACGTTGCTTGTAGATGTACACTTTTGTAAATAATGCTCAATGAATCTTCTAATATGTATATCTTCGTACTTTATAATTTTTTGAGAAATACCAATCACTGGAACTGGGTCAAAGGGTAATAATGTACATTTAAATTTTTGCACTAAATTCACTATATATAAAAGCATATGATAGGCAGATAGTGTGAGATTCAAAATGAGGTATAAATGGTATAAATGAAGAGAAACTGTCACTTACTTGTTCCTGTTCCCCTGCCATTCATCTTTTCTTTCTGGAAACAACCACTGTGTGTGCGTGTGTATGTGTGTGTAGGTGAGCTGCATTAGAAGGTATGTACATGTAAAATGTTGATAGATTTGCCAGATTGCCTCCTTGAGTTAGGCTTTTTATTGGAATCAGTTCAGGGTTTTAATAGAGACCAAAGTTTTATACGTGAGCTTACATCTATAGCAAGTCATCGATTACCTTTGTAAGTCTTTTGAATTATGTGGTTGGCGCATATGCTCATTATTGGCTTATAGTTTGAGAATTTGTGAGTTATTGCTCTTGAGATAAGTAGCCACAGAAGATGCCTGAGTGGAATTTTTAAGACTTGATTGTGTATATTTGATTCACATCTATTCCCCCTGAAAATCATGTTGAAATATGGTTTTGTATGAAATATATTGTGTGAAAAACTTGCAAGTTTCCACAGCTGTTTACATTAGATCACCCTCATGCAGTACAAGTATTTCTATAATATGAGAAGTATAAAGGGAAGAATGAATGATTCTTTAATTAATTCTTTAGTTAATGATTTCTTCTCCCCCAGTGTAATTGTGACTCTGGAAATGTAGGATTACTTGAGATTGAAATGCCTGAGATTGAAAAAGGCTTGGGATGATTTTTTTTTTAAGTGTATTAACTGCCTGAGAGAAGTAATTTGGCTTTCTTCTTTAGAGAGAAGTTAACTGAGTAGATCTCAGGATGGATTTTTGCTTGTATTAACTCTTCAGCTAATTTCTAGAGCTTGCTTGTTTCTGTGGTGAGATCAAATAAACATGGGTTTGCATTTCATATTCACTTCTCATTAGCTCTGTGACTTTGAGTAAGTTATTTAACCTTTCTTAAATAGGTACCACATCTTCCTCACACTGTTATAAAGCAGAAACTAACACAACATTGTAAAGCAATTATACTCCAATAAAGATGTAAAAAGAAACAAAAACAAAAACAAAGTGAATCAGTTATACATATACATATGTTCCCATATCTCTTCCCTCTTGTGTCTCCCTCCTTCCCACTCTTCCTTTCCTCACATTGTTGAATGGATTAGAGATGCTATACATACAGTACCTTGCTTGGCAATGACAGGAACCTATAACGTGGTAACTTCTATTTTTAGCTATTATCAGTACATAAGAAGATATTATAAAGTTAATGATTTTTTAGGTCCTAATAAATTATTATTGATCATATTTGTTTAATGTGCATCTCACCCACACCCTGTTTTCTTTTTTCTTTTCCTCTAGGGTGAACTGTCCCATGATCAAGATGTGGTAGAATATATCATGAATCAGCCAAATGTTGTTCCACGAATCAACTCTAGGATTTTGACAGCTGAGCGAGAATACCTGGATTTAACAGCAACAAGTAAGGAGTATTTCAGGAACAATTTGGGGCCTTTTTGATTTGTCTTTCAGAATCTTTGCATTTATTGGATCGTAATGTTCAGAATTTCTGATAACCCAAGATTGTGACACAGTTTCCTTCACCTTGAGTTCATTATATGAGCTTCTAAATTCACAAGAGTTTCCTCCAAAAGGAGAGAAATTCTTCCTGGATAAATCTTTGTAAACTTTGAAAGATATTCAGTGCCTTTTAAATGCCAACTAAACTCCAGGTGTGGAGATCCGGATTCTAAATGTAGGCATTAGATGGTAAGAGTGGATCTAGATTGTTGACTTTCTTACAATTCTAAAGCTCTTAAGCAGCTATCTTCTTTCTCATTATGCAGTCAGTCAGTGATAATGTCGACAAATATCTCAGGTAGCTATACTCTGAGAACTTAAGAATGCCTTTTTAACAAATAAAGCTTCATTGACAAATAGTGTACATCAGCGGTCCTCAACCTTTTTGGCACCAGGGACCAGTTTCGTAGAAGACAGTTTTTCCATGGACCGAGGGTGTGTGTGTAGGGGTGGTTTCGGGATGATTCAGGTGTATTACATTTATTATGCACTTAATTTCTATTATTATTACATTGTAATATATAATGAAATAATTATACAACTCACCATAATGCAGAATCAGTGGGAGCCCTGAGCTTGGGGCTCAGGTGTGGGTTGGGCTACGCATGGACTGAAATAAGTGTCGGATTCTGACTTAAAGCCTGCCACCAGATGCAGCTTAATTGTCACTTGCCACTCACTGATAGGGTTTCGATATGAGTCTGCAAGCAGTTGATTTATTATGGTCTCCATGCAAGTCAGACCTCTCTGCTAATGATAATCTGTATTTGCAGCCACTCCCCAACGCTAGCATCACCGCCTCAGTTCTACCTCAGATCATCAGGCATTAGTTTCTCATGAGGAGAGCGCTACCTAGATCCCTCGCATGCGCAGTTCACAGTAGGGTTTGTGCTCCGCTGAGAATCTAATGCCACCACTGATCTGACAGGAGGCGGAACTCAGGCGGTAATGCGAGCGATGGGGAGTGGCTGTAAATACAGATGAAGCTTCGCTCGCTCACCCGCCGCTCACCTCCTGTTGTGCGGCCCGGTTCCTAACAGGCCGTGGACTGGTACCGGTCCATGGCCCGGGGATTGGTGACCCCTGGTGTCCATGCCATAAAACTCAACCTTTCAAAGTGTACAGTTGTAAAGTGCACAGTTTTTAGTATACTCTCAAAGTTGTGTGAGCATCACACTAACTTTAGAACATTATCATCCCCCGCAAAAGAAATGATGTAGTCACTCTCCATTTCCCCCTTTTCCTGTCCTTCAGCAACCACTAATTAAGTTTCTGTTTCTATGGATTTTTCTATTCTGGATATTTCATATAATTGGAAGTTTTTTGTGACTAGCTTCTTTCACTTAGCATAAAGTTTTTAAAGTTCATCCATGTCGTAGCCTGTCTCAGAACTTCATTCCTTTTTTTTTTCTTCAGATAATAAATATCATAAATCACAAACATAAATATAACTTCATTGTCTGACAGTTCTGGAGGACTTCATTCCTTTTTATGACTGATTCATATTCCATTGTATAGATAGGCCACACTTTGCTTATCTGTTCCTCAGTTGATGAGTGTTTAGGTTGTTTCCACAAGAATACCTTTTTTTTTTATTGCGGTACGTGGGCCTCTCACTGTTGTGGCCTCTCCCGTTGCGGAGCACAGGCTCCGGACGCGCAAGCTCAGCAGCCATGGCTCACGGGCCCAGCCGCCTCACGGCATGTGGGATCCTCCTGGACTGGGGCACGAACCCGTGTCCCCTGCATCGGCAGGTGGACTCTCAACCACTGCGCCACCAGGGAAGCCCAAGAATACCTTTTTAAGAGGTTAAGCCCAGGTACCATTTGTTCCTTTTGCCTTACTGGAGACTCTTAAGGCCACTTTAACAAACTGCTGGAAATACAGTAGAGTTACCACTTGCTCAGGAAATGTGTAATGGTGAAGTCAAAACCAAGTGTCTTTGTTGTTGTAGTTGAATACAGTGAATATATAGATCTGTTTATGGTTGTTACTTTATTGCAACTACCCCTCTTCTACTTGAAACTAAATTCCTTTCCTTTCAGGCAGAAGAAAATGTTTAAATATAGGCAGAGGAAAAATGCACATGTATGCTTATATTTGAAAAAGAAAGTAGTAAGAAAGTGCTTTTTACCAGAAGTATTAGTAGAGCAAGGCAAGCAGTATTATGAATTTTTGTCCTGAGTTTTTGTCGTTTCCATCATTTTAAATTAAATTATAAAGAGTTATCTTTGCAGTACTCATGAATAAGGACCATAAAAGTAGTTCTGTGTTTGGGTATCGTTCTCCACTGAGTGTTACAGTCCTCAGCTGTGAAATGATGCTACTCCACATGGCAGGGATGCAGTTTGCTTGGTGAGCATTTTGGAGCTCCCAGTGAAAGAGCAGCTGGCATCCTCCTAACCCAGTTGTCATAGCTCCATCATCTACACTGCTCTTGGCCTTTGCTGTCCAGCGACTCAGTTGTAAGGCCATGGTGCTTCCTCCCCTCTGCTACATGAAGTCATGGGCAGTGTCTGTCTTATTTACCATTGCTTACCTTTGCTAGACTACTGACTGAACAGATAGTGGGCCCTTGGTGTGCTTTGTTGAATGAAAGGATAGATGGGTTAGTGGGTGGACAGACAAATACATGGGAGGGTGGGCAAGCAAGATGTGCTTGGAAGACATTGCAAGAAACAGGGCATTTGTATTGGGGAGTAAATAATGCAAAGGCCTGGGACGATTGCTGGAGATAAAGAAGGGGTTTATGATACCAGGCTGGAGACCAGTTTGTAGGTAGGAAGAAATTACAAAGTACTGAGAGCAAGGGAATGACTTGATGAAACTGGAATTTTAGCAAGAGTTATCTGAGGGGGAAATGATTAATAAGAGCATTGCCTATAGGCACTAATCAGAAAAGAAACATATCTGAAAATGACCTTTTGTTTCTGTTAAGGTTAAAAATGTTACTTTGGTAGATGTGAAATAACTAAAACAAGAGTTTTTAAAAATATTTTCTCTCCCATTCATCCCCTCTTACACCCAAATAGGATAGGGAAGAGTTTACTATGCGGATGGACTATGGAAAGGAGAGATGAAGTTAAGGGTATCTCTTTAAAAGATCGTCCTGTAGGTGTAAAGTGAAAAGAGTGGGAATAGAATAAATTTAAACCATCAAACTGACGAACACATATCTGAGAGTTATGTGTGAGATGTGTACATTTTCTATTTGTGTCTTAAAATGTGATTAATGGGGTGGGTCATGTTGTGAACTTGTTCAGTAAACGTGAAACAGTATATTTCGCTCATGTATTTTATTAAAATGTATATTATGGTCAAATGAGATTAACAATTGAATATTAACATTAGATTGAACTTAGGCATATTAATTATAAATCTACTTTAATTTTTCTTTCAGATAACTTTTTTGTGGATGATTATGCTAGATTTACCATCTTGGATTCCCAAGGCAAGACTGCTGCTATAGCCAATAGTATGAATTATCTGACCAAGAAAGGTAATACATTTTAGCCTTACCTTGGATTCAACTTGTTTCTCCTTTTTTTTTTAGTATTTACAAAAAACTTAATTTTTAGTGTCCGTTGGGAAAGAGATTCCCTAATTTCTTTTATTACTGTGTATAATTATTTGAGTCTAGAAGATATCTGTTTAAAATTTAATTTTTTATATATATTTGAAAATTCAGATGTTGTCTTTATAAATTTTATATTAGACATTAAAGGTAAAAGGAAAAATTTTTTCATGATTCAAAATGGAAAAAGAATTATGATGTAAAAATGGGTTAATGGATTGACAATTGGTTTGACTTGTCTCTTCAATGACAATATTGGGTTAATTGTTTTTAGGATTTGTAAGATCAGCTTGGTACAAGAAATCCTTGTGCACGTTTTAAAACTGATTTTGATGCAGAGTTATTTATTCGATTAAAATTGTCTAAAATGATATCCTCTTAATGGCAGATGGGTGCTTTTCCCTTCTGGTCACACTTATTACCCTTTCAGGGCACTGACTGTCATGTAAGGCAGCTATTTTTTTTTTTTTGGCTGTGCCATGTGGCATCTTAGTTCCCTGACCAGGGATCAAACCTGTGCCCCCTGCATTGGGAGTGCGGAGTCTTAACCACTGGACCGCCAGGGAAGTCCCTAAGGCAGCTATTTTTATCTACTGTGGTCTTCTCCCAGAGAGAATTTCTGTTTTCCCAGATATATGTTTAAGCACAGGCAATTGCTCCATTTGTTTCCTCAAAGAAATTGGTTCTGAGGGGTCCTGGAACAGTGCTGTAACCCTTATGGGACTAAGGAGTGAAAAGAAGCATAGGTGATGTTGGGCATTATTTAAAATTTGACTCTTACAGTTGGCATTAATTAGAGAAATGACATTTTCTTTTCTTCTACTCTTTTTCCTTTACTTTTGTCCAGGAATGTCCTCCAAGGAAATCTATGGTAACTTTAAATTTCAGAATGTTCTATTCCTTTTGTTAATTAATTATCTTATGTGGTTTCAGGCACCACTGTAATTCAGAATTTACTGACACTTTATTGGGATGTTTCTGTAACCTGTGGGTAACATAATTTATCAATGCAGATAAATTCTGTGTATAAATGTTTGCCAAGAATTACATTTTAGAAAGTTAATAAATGAATATGATTAAAGACTATAATATGTTATCCACACGTTCAAAGACTCTTTTTCATTTTACATGCTAACAGATTCCCAAATCAAAATAGAATTAATAAGTGCATGTTCTTAGCTTTTAATTAAGCTGCATGGAAGGTTACCCTGCTTTCACTCTAGTATCAGAGTTTCAAAACTTTTACTTTGTATCTTTATTAAACTTGTCATTTTCTTATTTTTTTGCATGGTTTTCAGAAATTACTTGGCCTAATAGCAATATTGAAACATAGGATGTGCTTTTTCCTCTCCCACTCAATATGTTGTTTTTGTTTTTCTACAGATGATTCTTTTATTAGGCCAGTGACTTTTTGGATTGTTGGGGATTTTGATAGCCCTCCTGGAAGGCAATTATTGTATGATGCTATTAAACATCAGGCAAGTATCTACGGCTTCACTCTGTATCTTTGTTTGAGGCTGCAGTTATCTTCATGGGCATATGTGTGCTGATAATGTTCTGCTGGGGAGGCTGGATCCAGCTTTTTTGGTGCTTGAGGGAAAGAAGCATTGTATTTTCAGAGGTCTGGCAGCTAGTGAGAAAACAGAGAAGACTGCCATATTCTGGCTTTATGTAAGGGAATAGATTTTTGTTTTTTTGGCTGTGCCGTGCAGCTTGCAGGATCTTAGTTACCTGACCAGGGATTGAACCCGGGCTCCCTGCCATGGAAGCACAGAGTCCTAACCACTGGACCACCAGGGAAGTCCCAGGAATAGATTTAGAGGAAAAATAATAAGATCATCATCATAGACAAGTTTTTATTGTATGACTGTTCATGTTCTTGCTGCAGATGCTGCAAAGTTTGTGTTGTATATTGTATGGGAGAGACAGAGTCCTTATATTGAGAGAGGTCCAGATATGGGAGAAATACCACAGAGGCACATTAGCACGTGTATAATAGAAGTAGGTGTAGGCATGCAGAGGGATGCACATACGGGTGGTCTGAAAGCTGTGCAGCATATAAACCGTAGAAGTGGAGTGATTGGGCAGTGGTGAACGGCTGAAAAATAATCAACCCTTATAGAGATTGTCATTGTCAGAGAGAGAGAGATGTTACATTTCCTTTTCCTGAGCGGTTTCAGATTGGATCTTCATCCAAGTTTGACACCCCTCCTGTGTCCCCTTGCCACTCTGCGTCCCAGGGAGGCTTACTGAAATATCCAGGTGATTTCAGCTTCACTGATGTGCTGAGTGCCTTTATTGTCTAAGGGAACAGACTGGATGGTGAGGTCAGTTGTATCAGGAGTAGTCCAGGTGAAGGACGATACACGTATAACGCACTCTTAACTCAAATTGACAAATGCTCAAGTGGTGAAAAGTGGGAGAACAGGGAGGGAGTAATTGAAGTAAAATACAAGTTCAAAAGACATGCACAAATCAATAGGATGCAGTGTCACAGAGTGAACACACCCATGTGACCACCACACAGGTACAGAAACAATTACCGAAGTCCTAAAAGCACACCCCTGCTTGTGGCTGCATCACTAGCCCTCGCCTGTCCCTCTTCTCACATCCTAGGTTTGCCTGCTTTTTACTTTAGTTAAATGGACTCTTATAATACGTATTTGTTTGTGTTTGGTTTCTTTACTCAACATTTTGGAGATTTACCCCTGTTATTACAGGTAGTGGTAGTTCTTTTTCATTGTGCAGTATTGTATCATATGGCTGTACCACAAAGTTTTGTTTGCTTAGTCTGTTTGATGGACAATTGGGTTGTTTCTAGATTGGGGCTAGAAGAATGCTGCAATGAATACTCTTGTACATGTTTTTAGATACACATGAGTATGAATTTCTGTTGCTTATGGCCCTTTTTTGGTTTTGTGGCCTCCAGATATCTTCTCCCACATGGATTCTTGACTTTTGACCCAAGGAGAGATTAATTTTTAGTAGAAATCTGGAAAGGCCATGTGAATGAAGGGTCTGAGCAGAGCCCTTCAAGAGGGTTGGGACTTAAGGAAATGAAGATGGGTGTAGCTGGGTTTCACATACCAATGTGAGGCATAACATGCATTAGAAGAATGCAAAATGTGTTGGGGAAATACAGGACTCTGACGGTCTGTAATGTATGCTGTATTTACAGGGATGGTAAGAAATGAAGTTGAAAAGGTAGGCTGGGGGCCAATTCATGCAGGGGTTTGAGTGCCTGATTATAGCATTTTAATTTTACTCTGTATGCAGAGGAGAACTACCAAAGACTTAAGTGTTATTTGCTACTTATGGGATATGACTGATGTTAATGCTGCTTTTTAAATTTAAGGCATCTACCATATAACTCTTATTTCCCTTTTTGTAAATAGAAATCCAGTAACAATGTTAGAGTAAGCATGATCAATAATCCTAGTGAAGATATAAGTTATGAGAAGACTCAGGTCTCCAGAGCAATCTGGGCAGCTCTCCAAACACAGACCTCCAACTCTGCTAAGAACTTCATCACAAAAATGGCCAAGGAGGAGACTGCAGAGGTGCTGGCTGCAGGAGCTGACATTGGGGAGTTCTCCGTTGGGGTAAGTCTGTGTGTGGCATGAGGCTGCTTGTATTGTTATTTCAGAAGTTCATTCCCATGGGCTGATGTGCCCTGTTCCTGTTGATGATCAGGATTTGTGATTGTAGTTCTGAGCTCAGATGATTTTTTTTTTTTTTTTAATGGGAAGGTTCTTACCAAGAAATAACAATTCTGCCATATTCCCCTTATTACTTTTAAACTTGCTAGGCTTCAAGATGTGCATGATATAAGCTTATATATGTTTTAAGCGCAAAGCCATTGGTTTTGTAAGTTTTGAAAAGATAATATTTGATTTGTTCGTAAAACAAAGAAAAATATTTGTTTATAGAGATTGAAGCTACTTAATGAGTTAGAGGCTTATGTGTTCTTGATGTATTTCCAATATAAGCCCATTTTATTAATTTATGTTACATGCTTTTGACTGTTTTGTAGTTTTAAGATTTCTTATAAAGTGATGAATGTACTTGATATTTCAGTTAAAAAAGACTCTTACTTGAAATTAGCAAGATTTTAAAATGCAGAATAAAGGTATCATGAATTATAGTTTGCCAATTGAACAACTACGTAAAGGAACAGGAAAAGGAAATAAGCATTACTTGATAAGTGGGAGGTTGGGAAGAAGTGGGAGAGAGAGTGGGGAACGGAGACATCGTAGTGTTAATTATTAAAATTAGTCACTACATTCCACTAAAAGAGCATTTTATGACTTACTCATATGATTATTCATTTTTATGGTTTTCTTAATAACAATTACTTTTCCTTAATAACAATTACTTTCCTAGGGCATGGATTTCAGTCTTTTTAAAGAGGTCTTTGAGTCTTCCAAAATGGATTTCATTTTGTCTCATGCCATGTACTGCAGGGATGTTCTGAAGCTGAAGAAGGGACAGAGGGCAGTGATCAGCAATGGAAGGGTGAGAACTTTGTCCTGAGACAAGGTTGACTTCAAATTAGATCAGTGAACAGTCTTGGCAGCATTCTCCTCTGAAGCTAGTAAACTCTTCAGACAGAGCCACTTTCTCCAAAGGTGATTAGGGCTTGTGCAGTGCTGATGGTCATTTCTGCTCCCTTGTTTCAAAGGAAGTTTGCTCATTTTGACATAAACGTCCTTATGTGAAAGCTTCCTCCTGTTTAATTTTGTCCTGCCATTGTATAAGGTGGTGAGAGTGTGGTGGTTCTCAGAACCCAAATCCATAAGACCTGTGATTCATAAAGTATTCGTCCCATGTGGGGACCATGTTTATGGTTTGTGCAGTCTGTATGAACTTAATTGGTTTATGCTTGGACTATTTCATAAATATCTGCAGCCACGGAAATGAGACTATGGCGGACATACCAAACTTTAAACCCTTAGCCTTTAGGGTGAAATCTCTGATATCTACCACTACGTTTCTATTTTGGCTTTCTTATTTATATTCAGTGAGAATTAATGAAAATGATACTGCTATTTTATTTCAGAGTTTGCTTACTGTAAAAATACTGTAAAGTATTCAAGTCTACATACACTCTGTGTAGTTGAGGAATTGATAAGTGAATAACTGTATGAGTTGATTCGGGTTTTATTTTCACTTTTTTCATTGATTTGACTTAGATGTAAACGTGTTTCGGGTCTGTAAAGTGATCTGGTTTGTAAGGTAGCCTGAGGACAACCAAGGACTTCTCTGCAGCCCACTGATTCCAGCACTGACCACCTTGCTCTTCTTCACAGATCATTGGGCCACTGGAGGACAGTGAACTCTTTAATCAAGACGATTTCCACCTCCTAGAAAATATTATCTTAAAAACTTCAGGACAGAAAATCAAATCTCATATTCAACAGCTTCGGGTAGAAGAAGATGTGTAAGTTTTGCCATAGAAGAAATGAATCAGTTCATGTCACAGGGGCTATATTAATTGGACTTTCCTCATGCTACCTGTTCCAAGATGTTTTATCTCCAGCTTTAAAATATAATAATGTTCTTCATTTCAGGTGTTTATTTATACTTCTGTTGAAACGAGTTAATTTATTTTGTAGCCAGCTGTTTAAAGAACTGGATTAGTTCTCTCCATTTTGATTTTTTTTTTTTTAACTTTTGATTGTGGAAAATTTCAAACATATGCAGAAGTAGAGAGGTGATTTTATTTATTTCCTTGGAATACTTATGTAAAGAAATACTTTCCCTCATTATCTCTTTAATTACCTTTCAGTTTTATTTTGTTCAGGAAAAAAAAAGACAAGTTAAATGTTTCTTTTTCTTTATTTACTAGTATGGAATAATGAGTTTTTTTTCTTGCATATTCCAAAAGTGATGATGAGTTGGTTATTGTTGGTTCTTTATTGTTATTTTAATTCTTTCAGTGTTATTATTAGTCTATATATTTTAATGAGTTATACCTCAATGGAAAAAAATCAATATTTGACTGGTCTGTGTACCTGCTGTGTAACTGAAGCTCATAGTCATATTCACATGGTTTCTGCATTAAATATCAAATGAATGTGTAGCTGGAGGATGTATGGTTATGTTTAGTTTTTGAGGAATCATTATACCTTTTTCCACAGAGGCTGCACCGTTTTACTTTCCCATCAGAAATGCGTAAGGGTTCCAATTTCTCCACTTCCTCACCAACACTTACTATTTTCTGTTCTTTTGATAACACCCATTCCAATGGGTGTGAAATGGTACCTCCTTGTGGTTTGATTTGTACTTCCCTAATGATTAGTGATGTTGAGCATCTTTTTGTGTGCTTACTGACTATTTGTATATCTGTGGGAAAACATCTATGCAAATCCTTTGCTCATTTTTAATTATTTGTTTTGTTGTTGTTGAGTTGTAGGAGTTCATTTATATTCTGGATATCAATCCTTATAGCTATATGATATGCAGGTATTTTTTTTCCCACTCCATGTGTTGACTTTTCACTCTCTTGATAGTGTTCTTTGATGCATCGTTTGAGGATATAGAGTTTTAAAGTTCTTCTGTTTTATTTCTTCATCTATTTCATACACCATGATGCTGCAGAGTTCAAGATGCACGTCTTAGTGAAGCATTGACTTTGATAGCTGTGAAAGTAGTCTCTTTGCCAAGTTTTGTGTGATACGGAAAGGAATCATTTTTCATCTCACCCAAACTGGGGCTACAGATAAAGAGGTTTCCTCCCACCTCATTGGTTGTTGAGTGATGCCCCTTGTTTTAGCCTGGGAAACACTTCCCTGATGCAGGCCAGGAGGTACCCCCTGATTTGAAGCCAGTGTGTCATAGGCATAGGTTTGGTGTGGTGTCCCTTGGACCACTCCCTGTCTCTGTGGAAGCTTCGGGGGAGGCCCTGGGAGTCCTTGTGGACTATATAGTTGCCAGACTATGCATAGGAGACTTGGCCTTTTACCAACCAGAGATGGCTCTGGGTCTGTCCTGGTTGAATTTAGGGCAATAAGGTAGTTGTGGGGCTGCCAGAAGATTGATGCTAAAACTGTTAGGGTTCTCAGAGTAACCTTGCTTGCCTAAGATTTTCGTTAGTCCCAGGGCTGCTCCACCTTGGTCGTGCATGACAGCCACAGCTCTCATGCGTGACCCAGACCTGCAGCCAAGAGGCCATCGTCAGCCCTGCGGAGCTCACCTGTGGGCTCTTTGATCATGGCGATCATCCCAGTCCACAGAACCAAGGATCCCTGGACATATTTTGTGACAATGTTGACACATCACAGGAAACAAATGGCCTGTTTTATATGTATTCAGAGTTAGCATTGAGATGTACCAAAAGATATAATTTGATATAGTTGTTTGGTTCGATGAGAGAATGTATAGGCTTGATTCCAGTTCAGATATATTCACGAATATATTCAAATATATTTTAGCATTCTTGGAATTTAGTCCTCAATTCAACAGATTAGAGCATTTTTTCAGTCTCATGATTTAGTTCAGGATCTTCCTTGGTCAGAAATCAAGTTAGGAGGGGCGGGGAAAGCGGAAATGCTTTTCTAAGTTGTTTACTGTGATGTTGATTGTAATAGTGAAATAGATTATGATGTATCCATAAATATAATATTATGTAGTCATTGAAAATATTGATGTACCCCTTTACTTATTATCCATCAAAATGTTTATGATATATTATTAAATGAAAAATCAGGTTACCAAATAATATAGTACCACTTTTGTGTATGTAGATATATATATATTAAAATATGGAAGAATGATGAACTAAAATGTTATCAATACTTATTTCTTGAATATACTATTATTGTGTGCATCTCCATTTTCTCCTTATATTTTTTTCCTGAATGTTTTTTCGGTAAATTATTACTCTGATGATCATAAAAAGTAATAAAGTTATTTAGAAGATGGTGAGGGAGAGTTATGGGCCAGGCCCTGAGCTAGGTGCTTTATTTTCTATGTTTTGCCAGTACAGTATTTACAAGAGCCATGCAAAGTAGGCATTATCTCCATTTCACATATGGAAAAATCAGCACCTACCCCAGGGCTGTAAAACTTATCAGTGACAAAATCTGTATTTTTTTTCTCATACCAATTGATACAAAGCTTATATTTTCTTCAGACCAGCTTGTTGGCATTCAGTACTTAGGTTGATTATATTATGTTCAGCAACAATTGGAAAACCTTCAGTAATAGAGATGCTAAAGTTTCACCAACCACATCTTTCAGGGCAAGTGACTTGGTAATGAAGGTGGATGCTCTCCTGTCAGCTCAACCAAAAGGAGATGCAAGAATCGAGTACCAGTTTTTCGAAGATAGACACAGGTATAGAATCAATGCTGAATTTGTGCATATTTACCTTTACCTCAGCTCCTTTATTTTTCCATATAAAGTGTGTATATAAACTCTTACAGGAATGGAAAATTTGGCATGTGGTTTTTATATATATTCATATATAAAATACATGTAACAGATATCAGTTGCATAAAAGTTGACATTTATTTCTAAATAAATCTGAAATAGTTCTGAATATACCCTTTAAGAAAACAGAAAGCATTTAATGAAACCGATCAGTTGTCATTTTCTGATATTAAAGAATAAACAGGTTGTTAGAGCATTTGTCTCAGCTTTTATTGAAAACTGTCTTGTTTTCAGTAAAATAAAAATAAGTATAGCATTATAAGGAAGTCCTTGTCTTTTGTTTTCCAGTTTTTTATTTTGAAAAGTTTCAAACCTAGAGAATAGTTGAAAGTCTATTATAGTGAATACCCAAATATCTTTAATCTAGCTTCACCAATTGTAGACATTGTGCCACAGTTATCCATGTGTGTGTATAGTATATGCTTGCATACAAATATACATGCACTCACATTTTGGGGGAACCATTTGAAAGTATGTTGCAGATATCATTATATATCATGCCTAAATTCTTCGGCATATGTCTCCTGAGTACTAGGAGTATCTCCATAGTACTGTTAAGCATACCTCAGCAGTTTAACCTTGATAAAGTAATGTTACGTAATACCGGTCCATTTTCAAATTTCTCCAATGCCCAGTAATGACTTTTTACAGCTGTTTGCTTGTTTGGCCCAGATCACACGTTGCAGTCAGTTGTTGTGTCCCTAGTCTCTTCTAAGCTAGAACAGTTTGGGGGTGTTTTTTTGTTTGTTTTTGGTCTTTTTGGGTCTTTTATGACATTGACTTTTTTGAGAGTCCAGGCCAGTTGTCTTGTGGAATGTCCCACAGTCTGGGTTGTTTTCTCATGATTAGACTTAAGGTTAACTTGTCTTGAGGAAGAATGTCTACAGTTGATGTATCCAGGAAGGTGTATATGCTGATTGCACCTTAGGATCACCAGGGAGGCTCTAGATGGCAGAAGCCTGCATCCTGCTCCACTATGACTCTGATTTAATTAGTCTGGAGTAAGTTGGACTTTGGTTTAATTGACCTGTGCTTTCTCACAGCCAGTCCTTGTGGGGATAAAATTTGAACTAATGATTCCAGGCTAGAATGGAGATCCTCTCCTTTCTCACTGGCTGTGGCTCCTTGCTAATAATCACCCTGGTTGGATTTTACCCATTAGCACCATCCTCTCTTTACTCTGTATGGTTTCAGGAAGTGACATGGTCTGGTTACTACCCCAGGAAACATTCCTAATTGACCTGCCGTCTTGTTTGCCTGTCATAGCCAAGACCTGAGCTAGACCTCTTCCCTATTTAGCACATCGTTTTCTCCATGAGTCATATATAATTAAAATGTCCTAATTACAAATTCTATTATGATGCAGATTTCAATTAGAGAAGTTATTTTTATTGGGGTCGTATTAGTTAAATGAGTGTTTGTTATACTCAAGTCAGAAGTTTCTTACTTAGGCAAGAAACAAGAAGTCTGAATTACTGGTTATGTATACCCTTTCCCTGAAAGTGTGGTCCATGGAACAGGGCACTGTCTGTGAGCTTGTTGGAAAGGCAGAGTCTTCTGGCCGCAGTCCAGACCTCCGAATCAGAATCTTCATTGTAACAGGATCCCCCAGGTGACTCCTGCATACCTTAAGATTGGCGAAGTGCTGCTTCCTTGACGTTTGCTCTACTCACCTCTCAAAAATGTGGGTGATTCCCCTAATATTGCTTCTGTGTCTGTCACTTTCAGCCTTATTCTGGTCTTTTCTCTGATGAATACAGCAAGTGTATTTAAACATAGTGTTGTCAGTTTATATTGTTCTCCATTTCCACACCAATATTCCTCTTTTCTTGGTGTTTGAATTGCCCTCTTTTTTGCTGCAGAGATGCGGGGGTGGTTAAAAGACCTTACAGGGTCCGTTTCTGAGGATGTCTGTTGTGGGTCACCTAGAGCACTGGCTCAGGACATGGGTATGCCGTACAGAGCTCTACCCCAAACCAGCCAGGCTTAGGGGCCTGACGCACACACTGTGCTCTAGAGGACTGTTTGGGACCCCTCTTCTCGTTTCCTTTGGGAGAGTTTGTATAATGCTGTTCTCTAATGCGCTCTTCCTTCTAGATTATAGAGTACCACAGGAGGTCCAAGTTATCTGACGGCAGCGGCTCTTATACTTTGGCTTTTACTTAGAGAGTTTGTTGAAATGCAGATTGCTGGACCTACCCCCAGAGTTGCTGGTTCAGTAAGTCTGGGTTGGGGCCTGACAATTTGTTTTTTTTTTTACAAATTCCTGGGTAAAGCTGATGCTGCTAGTCTGGAGCCACACTTTGAGAACAGCTGTATTAGAGGGAAAAAAATGTATTGGAATAATTATTGGTAGCTGGAATTATCAATATCAAATTGAAAGCATGTGTTGCAGTACGGTCACAAAGCTATTCTGACGGTTATTTCCAAAACAGTTAAGATTTGAAATAACCTTCATTACCATTTAAACTGTGTTTACCCAGTTTTATTAGTTATTGTGTTCTGTTTTGAACTTTTGTTTTTATCCCACTGGGTAAATGTTTTTGCATAAAAGTGGTGATTAATTTCAAAACCACATTAAAATAGTGTTCAGAGTAAACAAAGATAAGCATTGATTAAGCAATTAATGTTTTGGGAAAATTGGATGTATTTTTAAATCCTTTCAAGTTTATTCCTTTTTAAAATGTATCAGAGGCTCCTGCTTCTCTTAAGCTACCTAAGTCAAAGTGGCTTTAGAAGGAGGCCATGTAACTAGAAATTACATGTGGGGAAATGCATGTTCTCCTCAGAAATCCTAGGAGTTGTCCTTTTTCACTTAACTAAGAACAGACAAAAAAATTGCATAACTTAATGCTGACAGGATGTAGTGAAGTTCATTTCTTGGCCTTGTAAAATTGTTTAGTTCTTCAGGAAATGTGGTTGACGAGACATATTAGCCACAGAAATATTTGTGTCATTATGACTCAGTAATCTCATGTCTAGGACTATGTTAATTCTCAAGAAATTTCCAAGTGTGAAAAAAACTGGATGTGAGAAGTTCTTTACAGGTTGAAAGGCATCTAAATATCCAGCAATATGGACATATATACACTACCAAATGTAAAACAGATAGCTAGTGGGAAGCAGCCACATAGCTCAGGGAGATCAGCTCGGTGCTTTGTGTCCACCTAGAGGGGTGGGATAGGGAGGGTGGGAGGGAGATGCAAGAGGGAGGGGATATGGGGATATATGTATATGTATAGCTGATTCACTTTGTTATACAACAGAAACTACACACCATTGTAAAGCAATTATACTCCAATAAAGATGTTAAAAAATAAATAAGTAAGTAAATGTCCAGCAATAAGGAATAGCTTGAGTAAACTACAGCAGATTCACTTGGTAAATCGAAGATTATTTCTTATTCAGGATATTGATGTATAACAACATGGAAAAATCTTTATAAGAAACTTTTGGGGGAAGGAATGAAATTATAAAATTGCTGATATCCTGTAGGTGCATCCATCTCATCTTTACATAGGCATTTAAGGAAGACTATGTAGAAATATGCCACAAAGTGGTTGAGTTGGGATGGTGAGATTTTATGATTATTTATTTCCTTGTTCACTCTTTCGCAAGTTTTTGTAATATTATTATGCTCCTTTTACTATTTAAAAAAGTCAATTTCTTCTCTCCTCATAACCTTCTTGCCAAGAAATAAAAATTGGCATAATGTAACTGTCAAAAACAAACATCAGAAGCTTTTAGAGGGTTTTTAAACTTTGTGGCAGACCTAATCACTAGTTGACCACCATGTAACCTTGTTGTTTTAGATCTAAAGTTTTTTTGAAATGTTAAGAGGGCTGATTGGTTGTGTTGGATGTGTTGTCTCCCCACCCCATCCCCCCCAAAGAAATCAACTGTTTCCTCTTTGCCTCCAGATTAATGTTTATCTCTTTGATCTCTGTAGTGCAATTAAACTGAGGCCAAAGGAAGGGGAGACGTACTTTGATGTCGTGGCCGTCGTTGACCCTGTCACCAGAGAAGCGCAGAGACTTGCCCCGTTGCTTTTGGTAGGGACAACTGCAGAGGCAGTTCCCGTCATCTGTGTCACATCGTATTTACCGGAAGTGGTCCCATACCCTGAGATTCTCTGCGAGCATCGTTTTCCCTTAGTTATTTTTAAAGGACATTGGAAAGTGCTACAGGGCATCTTGGGCAGAGCAGATGTTTTCATAAAGATTAGTAATGGCTCTGAAAACAATTTAATAACCTCTGAAAGTAGGTACAAGTTTGGTTGATTACTTCATGTAACTAAGAAAAAAATTATCTTTATTCAGAGCAAAATGTCTTTGAATTAAATTTATTTTTGCCATACTTTATATTGGCGAAGAGTTAAAAGGTAAAAGCATTCTGCTTTATCATTTTCCTTTCTTATAGCTAGCATTTTTTTTGTAATGTGTCTTTTGTTTTTGGGCTGCGTCACAAGGCTTGTGGGATCTCAGTTCCCCGACAAGGAATTGCACCCAGGCCCTCGGCAATGAAAGCACCAAGTCCTAACCACTGGACCACCAGGGAATTCCCTGCAGAATGTCTTTTAGATATGATATAAGATATTGCAACTTAAAAAATTTTAAAAGAACTCTGCCAAAAATATAGTTGCCTCAATTTTTTTTTTGAGTTGTGTGTTTGTTTTTTTTTAAGTTTTATTGAAGTATATAATCACTTAACCTTTTTTGTGGGTATTTGTATGTGTTTTTTCCTATGATAGTCTGTAAGCTGCACTGATGAACCTTTATAAACTCTTCCTTATGTAGACAGCTATATCCATTTCCTGTCTTGCTTCCCCTCATATGTGGGGAGCAGTTATTTGCAATGACCTATTTCCCATGTTTTTGTCCACGTGATATATATGTGTGATTTAGATTGTGCACTAGAGCTGTGATTTCTAGGGATTTATCCAGTGCAGACTTTATAACATTTATTATCTTTGTATTTTTGCTTGAGATATTAAGAAATGTTCTCTCTCCTTAGTGTCGGTACATTTCTGAAGAGACAATGTAAATATTGTATCTCAAATATCAGTCACTTTGT